AGAATTACAAGTACAGAGATCCCTATTTATGAAGACTAAACTAGGGTTGAAAACTTAATCCCCAAGTTAGGCCCAAGCCCACATAGAGAATTAGGGCCGGCTAAATTAAAAACCTAATTTACTGCCATAACCAAGACTAGGGCCGGCTGCCCTTCTTAGTCGAGCCTCCACACTCAATTCGCCCAACAGATACGCCCGCTCGACCTTTTGAGTCAACTTTTATCAGCTTTGACTAAGAACTGGGGAAGAACTATATATACCCATATGATGTCAGGCATGTCACATTAACATCGATAGATTAATTTTAAAATAAAGCTTTGGAATATACTCCGTAGCATTTTTATGATAATTATTTATAAACAAACTCAATCACTGTATGAACTGTAAATTGTGTTGCATTGGAGGCCAAGAAAAAATTCAGAACACGAGTTAGCTAATCTTACTTCGAACCAATGGCGGACCTACAGTGGTCCAAGTGGGGTCAAGACGTCAAGTGCACCCACTAATTTTTTTCTAGTGCTAGCTACAGTACCACATTCATGCACTTCTGTTTTACACTCCTACAACTCTTAGTACGAATTATAAAGTATATTAGGGTGGGTTCACACTGTTAGCCACATATACTACGGAGTATCATAGAGTATCTACTTCTTTTTTGCTCAAGGTACTGCCTTAGTTTTCAACAGAGTAGCTTATGTTTATTTAAGTGTTTTGATTGATTATTTGATAAAATAAAATATTCTAGTTACTTCTTGTTTTGTAGAACTTTTGACTTAATTTTTAAATAAGTTTTGTTTTTAATTTCTATACCAATCTTCAAAAAATGAATTTTTTAAAAAAAAATTGAAATTGTGTTTCATTTTACATAAAATGTAAAATATTTTGGAACAGAAAGAGTAAATATTATGTGCCCAACATATAAAAAAATGAACCCACTGTCACAAAACTCTAGGTCCGCCACTGCAGTTCTAACTCTGTATATTCAGAACAACGAACAAATACACCAATAGTAATCGTAAAAAGACCTATATTCATAATGCATTTGAATATTTGATCGAGATTCAGACTAACACGGAGTAAAATTTGGGGATTAGCACAAAATAGCATCACCATTCACCAGGGGGGGGGGACTTTTTTTAATCGGAATTATACCTTTTCTTCGCGCTTGCTCTCACGAGGATCGGAATCGGAGCTGTGTTCGGCGTAGAAGAGGAACTCGCGAGTCTGACGAACGAGGTCAACGGGAGTCCTAGGCTTGGACTTGAACAAAACCTTCATCTTCGCGTCTCCACTCCCGCTGCTGCCGGAAGCGTTTTCCGGCAACTGCAACGGCGACGACCGGATGGGAATCGGAGACGAGAGTCTCCTGGAAAGCATCTTCGGACCCGCCAAGGGTTTAACCCCCCCGGCTGGGGTCCTCCCGCTTGACAGGCACGCTCCTATCTTTGCCGATGATCACCCCTACCGACCGCTTGTGTTCGCCGGCAGATCTGCGCTCGAGAGAACTCTTCTTCGGCTTCTGTGTATATCGAGGAGTTCCTGTGAATTCGCAGGTGGTTGGAATTGATCACAATGTGGATGGTTTTGTTCAGAGGAAAAGGGATACAGTTCAAACTCCAAAAGTAGCTTTGGTCACGGTAGTCCAGTCCGGTCCCTTTTGAACCGACTAGTATTATTAAGTCCTCCAAAAATTATATTGTATGATATTCTCTATTTTTTTGTAATAACTTTCAGATGTCACATTATTCCAATTTCCAAATATAATTTGTGGTCCTTTGAATTTATTGAAATTCTTTTAATTTGATAAACTATAGGATTTTAATAAAATTTTATATATAATGAATATCAAGATAAAATTTGGTACTACCTCCGTCCCAGAGTATTTGTCCACTTTCATTTTTACACGCCATTCAATACACTTCTTTAATCCATTTTATTTTGTAATTTGTATATTAAAAATTATAGAAATTATATATTAATAATCTATATATTAAGACAAATCAAACAAGATCACACATGACTATATTTAGACTTACACATTGAGAGAATTTGATGAGTCAATGTGCTTAGATGAACAGTTCCAAAAGTCAAAACTGGACGAATACTCCGGGATGGAGTGAGCATTTGTCAAAGTAATAAGACTTTCCATCCTAACGACCAAAAACTTTTGGAGTATATTTCCAAAAATTTTAAGAACTCCTAAAGTTTATTTCAGATACCTAAGAGTTCTCACCATAAAATCAAATGAAACTCGAAGTATTTTTTAAATATACTAAATTCTATCGTTGGTCCTTCAAGTTATTGTTATGCATGGCTAACTCTTCAACTTTGAAAATTCAATGAATAGTTGTTCAAGTTATGTTAGTGTTGCATGATCCTACACTCTCGCACTCACGACAATACCACTAGAGTGTTAATAATTTTGACATTTTCATACTTTTTACATTTTCATACTTTTTACTATTATCCATAGAAATTAATTTTTTTAAATAACTTTTTGAAGTTCCTTTTATTTTTTCCAGTTTTTTTAGTTTTTTCAAGTCTCTTACAATTTTTTTCTAGTTTTTTTTACAGTTTTTTTTCTATCTTTTTTAACATTTAGCTCTTTTTTTCTAGCTCTAAAGAACATACTCTTATGGAGGTGTAAACAAACATTTTGCTCGAGTGTTAATAAAGCAGTGCTCTGGTTAAAAAAAGAAAGAATAGAAAGTAACCTTTTTATTAGTCATAAATGTTTTGGTTTAAACTTGCGACAAACACTATGCTTATACTTTCTCCGTGGTATCTAAACAAACTTTTTGATTTGATTTTAACAAAATTTATAAAAAAATGATTACATGTCCATTTCTTTAAAAAATTATACGAGTATATGGAGTAAAAATTATACAATTTATTTTTATTTAAAAATTCACAATAAAATAAAGAATTCTCATATACAAAATTAAATCGAAAATTTGTACAAAATTAGATGATAATAATAATAATATATTTAATGGATTTATCAAATATAAGATGTGACATCATTAATTTATAAAAAATACATAAATAAATGCTGAGTAAAAATTAATGAGATTTTATTTGGGTATATTTGAATATTGGTGTTTGTACAAAAAGTTTTATGGCAAAGGGAAATGGTACAACCAAACACAGCCTAAGGCCTATTTGGTGGTGGCGTAGAGATTCTTCTTCCTCAAGATTTCATTACATTGGGCACACAGTATCACAGTGCTAGAAAATGGTCTGGTTCCCAGTGGGAATAGCAGATGGGTCAGGCGTTCTCCTTCCTTAAACCCTCCTCCACCTCCTCCTCCCCGCCGATGACATCTCACCTCGACGCCGTCGCCGTCGCCGCCAAGCGCAAGCTGGACGACTATTTCGATGACGCCTTCACCGCCGACTCCTTAATCCCCTCCGCCGTCAGAATGCGAAAGGACCAGCCTCTCCCTACCGCCGTCGCCGATTCCCATCTCCTCTCCCACCTCCCTTCCTCCCAGGAGGCCTCGACCTCCCGATCGTCTTCATCCTTCTCCGCGGAGTCGTCCTCGTCCTCGATCACCTCCATTTCCGGGAAACAGCGGTGCCCCGGTCCCGTTCAATTCTTCGTCCGGTTGCTGTCAGGCGGGACCACGCTAGTACTGGAAGCGTATTTGGACGACTCGGTGAAAACAATCCACGAGAAAATCCACTCAATCACGGGGATTCCGGTGTTCGAGCAGAGGTTGATATACAGAGGGAAGCAGCTTCAGTGGGAGAGTACTTTGGACGAGTGTGGGATTCAGAAGGATGCCGGGTTGCAGCTCGTGGGAAGGATGCGCAGCACAAGCCATCCTCAGGCATGGCAGTTCATGGACGACATGGTTTCCCTGATTCTTGAGCTGTACAAGAGAAAAAATCCTCAACCCACCTTGAGAATCAAAACCAGGCTTAAGGATTTCCTGGATAATATCCCACGAGATAACACAGACAAAGCATCTGAATACCTTCAAATCTTTCAAGCATCTCGCGCTCCGGTGGCTCTAGTAATGCTTTACATGTCTCCTGTTCAATCTTATAGAGATTGTGCGGTCGAATCAATTCGTACCTTCATAAACTCAAGTAAGGTTAATTTGCACAATCCTATGCATGCCCAGTTTTGCCCTATAGTCATAGAGTTCTGTAAATTGTTGAATAAGGCTGTTGGGGTCAATGATTTTTTGTACAGTCATTGTCGGAGTAGCTTGGGGTCTATAGTGGAGTCTGTTGGCGAGTGTTTGATAGAAATGAATGACATTGTCCCATTCCTTAAGGAATTGGCAAGCAAATTATC